CCCCAAAACCCCAAAACCCCAAAACCCCAAAACCCCAAAACCCCAAAACCCCAAAACCCCAGGTAGGACACCAATAATTGGAGTTTGAACAATCTCATACATTTTATAAATGAGTTGTTAAATTTAAAAATACGATAAGTATTTTAGTCACATTTTTCATGCAAGTACAAAGGATGATAGCCTCATATTAGAAATACCCTAATCTTCTTTACCCTGGCTGGTAGTCATCTTTAGATCTTCGCTAGATTCAGCCAGTTTGATCAGCTCGTCGATGTCCAAATCCCCGAAATTGGAAGAATCTTTGTTCTTAGAGGTAGTCGCTACAACTTTAGACAGATTCATGGAAGTAAACTTCGATTCATACCCTTCTTCCTCAGAGTCATTGTTCTTGTTTGAAGAGCTACGGTTCTTACTCACCGATCTCTGGTCAGTCTTTAGTGTAAACTTCTCTGGCTGGGTTAAATTCTTTGCAGAATGAAGCACCATGAAAGGTACTCGATGGCTATGAGGAACCTTCTTAGCCTTAAAAGATTTATAATGAGGATTTCTATCCTCACTACCTTGAGGAGTCGTATCTTCTTTCTTCCTTGAATTTGAAGCACTTAGTCGAAATGGTCTGGGTACTGTCGGAGGCTTTCTTGCTCGCACTCCTGATTTAGACATAGAAGAATCTCGAGAGGATAATCCTTGTTTCTTTGAAGCTCTATCTGTTTCATTATATGGCTGATCATATAACTGTTCTCTGGCATTTACAGGGCTAAATAAGTCGCTATTGGACATAGACCGTAGCTTTAGTTCTAAAGATGACCCAAATATAGTACCTATATTCTCCTTATTTTTGTCCTTTGTAAGGAAGCTGTTCATCTTTCACTGGGTATGAACTTCGGTGGGCTGTTTTAGCTTGCTAACTGACCCAGATCTCCGAGGTTTCGAGTCTAAAGAGACTATACTACCTTTGCCATTATCACTCTTGTCAAGAGAGTCTTCGTTCATTCTATGGATCATGCCCTTTTTGATTTTGGGAATTTTAGACTCGTTCTTATGCTCATCTACCATTTCAATCATGACTTCACCAGGAGTGACTTTTACTGGATTTAAAGCATGGTTCTTAGACTTGTTCATCTCAATAATTTTTACCTGAAAGTTAGGTTTTTGACCAACTTCATTCCGAATATTCCGAAACAGTTGATTCCTATGGGTATTCTTCATACTCCTCCTTTTCCGATGCTCCTCCCTGCTGCGGTTATTAACAGTATGATGCTGAGTTGACTCAATCTGGTGAATGTACTGGCTTCTAGTATGCTCTGATGCCTTTACATGAATCTTACTCTTCTTAGTCTTGCTTTCAGTCTTCTTGCTGATGCCAGAGAGCTTAATCTTTGATCTCTTATCACTCTCTTTAGCTCTCTTGGTTTGAGGGTTCCGGACTCTGCCAATTTTGTAAACAGATTTTATCCTGGACTGGGACAGAGAGTTTTGCCTAGCAGTTGATCAATAATTTGATAGCTTATTTATACACCTGGGTTTGAGGTATATTAAACATTTTTATCACAGACTCGTTCTTAATTGTATTCACTCCTCCTCTCAGTGTTCTTCTTTATTCTATATATGGTGTTGAGGATCAATGGAATTTGGTAAAGGAAAAATTTATGTAAAAATAATTAGCTAGAGAAGAGCCATACCCTTTCATTTTCCGGCCATCAAGCAATCCCTGATATCGAGGCGAGGTTTCAAACTTTTTATCTCAGTTATTCTTGCTTTCTTTAGTCTCCATTGTCAATTTCTAAAGGCGCCAAATTTAATTTTCAACTATAAAAATCAAAAACGGGGTTTTGGGGTTTTGGGGTTTTGGGGTTTTGGGGTTTTGGGGTTTTGGGGTTTTGGGG